CCCCCCCGCCACCAAATCCTGGGGTTTGTACATAGGGCCTGGGCACTGTCCCTGAGCTTCATTTGCTCAAGGCTAGCACTCTACCATTTGAACCAGCCACAGCGCCCCTTCTGCCTTTTTCTGCTTATGTGGTACTGAGGACTCGAACCCAGGGCTTCATGCGTGAAAATTATGCAGAAACAATAACTACAAAGAGAAGCAGAAAGCAGAAGTGAGAACAACCCCAAAATATAACTGGCCACAAATCAGAACCCTAAAAGCCATCTGGAATCTGCAATTTCTGCCTCAGTTGTACAAATGTCAGTGCCAAGTACGAATCTAAGGGGCTCCTATAAATAAATAAATAAAATCTTAGCTGTGGGCCAATGGCTCCTGCCTGTAATCCTAGCTACTCAGGAGGCTGAGATCTGAGGATTGCGGTTCAAAGCCAGCCTGGGCAGGAAAATCCTTGAGATTCTTATCTCCAATAAACCACTAGAAAACCGGAAGTGGTGCAGTGGCACAAGTGGTAGAGCACTAGCTTTCAGCTGAAGAGCTCAGGAACAATGCCCAGGCCCAGAGTTCAAGCTCCATGACTGACAAAAGTAAGTAAATAAGTAAATAAATATCTTGCTGTTCTTAAACTAAGCCACTTAGAAGTTTGTGAAATGTTCTGTTTCTTTGACCAGAAATTCTCTTTAATGCTGGAGACACTAGACTCAGGCTCAATATTAGTATGCTTAGAAAGTTCCCCAAGAGCCAGGTGCCAGTGGTTCACGCCTATAAACTTAGGAACTCAGTAGGCTAAGATCTGAGGATCACAGTTCAAAGCCAACTCACGGAAGAAAAGTCCATGAGACTTATCTCCAATTAACCACCAGAAAACTGGAAGTAAAGCTGGGCGCCGGTGGCTCATGCCTGTAATCCTAGCTACTCAGGAGGCTGAGATCTGAGGATCACAGTTCAAACCCATCCCGGACAATAAGCCACTAGAAAACCGGAAGTGGCGCTGTGGCTCAAGCGGTAGAGCACTCGCCTTGAGCTGAAGGGCACAGGGGCAGTGCCCAAGCCCAGAGTTCAAGCACCACGACCAACAAAAAACAAAACAAAACAAAACAAAACCAACTGGAAGTACTATGGCTCAAGTGGTAGAGTGCTTGCCTTGAGCTGAAGAAGAGTTCAGGGAAAGCGCCCAGGCTGAGTTTAAGCCCCTGACCGACAAAAAAAAAAAAAAAAAAAGAGAAAGTTTGAGAGCCAACCCTAGCTTGTCTCCAATTCACACACACACACACAGAGCCAGAAGTGAAGGTGTGGTTCAAGTGGTGTAACCCTAGCCTTGAGCAAAAAAGGCTAAGGGACAGGATCAAGGCCTTGAGTTCAAGTCCCAGTACGGGAACACACACAAACACAAAGAAAGTATGAGATAAGCCTGGGCTACATTGCCAGGAAAACCCTGCCTCAACATCAAATATGTATGTGCATATAGCACATATTTACCCATACATGTATATTGGAATAGAAGGGGGCTGGGGAAGGAAGAGCATCTGCTAGGTTACATGGCTGGACTCAAAGATTTGATTCAAGAAGAGGATAATGTCAGGCTCCTATGTCTCACACATGTAATTCTAGCTACTCAGGATACTGAGATCTGAAAATATGGGTTTGAAGCCAGCCCTCACAGGAAATTCTGTAAGATCCTTATCACAAAAGCCGGAAGTAGAGCTGTGGCTCAAGTGGTGGAGTACAAGCCTTGAACACAAAGGCTCAGGGACAGCAACCAGACCCTGAGTTCAAGCCTCAGAACCAACATACCCAAAAAAGCAAGGTGGGAGGTGTGACTCAAGTAGCAGAGGGCCAGCTTATAGAGCTAGAGCCAGCTTGAGTTTAAAACTTAGTTATAGGTCTGTGAATGTGGCAATGTGCTTGCCTAGTATGCATGAAGTCCTGGGTTCAATTCCTCAGTACCACATAAACAGAAAAAGCCAGAAGTGGTGCTGTGGCTCAAGTGCTAGCCTTGAACAAAAGCGCTCAGGGGCAGTGCCCAGGCCCTGAGTTCAAGCCCCAGGACTGGCAGACCAAAAAAAAAAAAAAAAAGACTTAGTTATGGGGTTGAGGTCTGTAGCTTAGTGATAGAACACCTGCCTAGCATTTGCTAGGGTCTGGGTCGATCCCAGTACTACAGACACACACGACCAGACGTCCAAAATAGTCTAATTTCTAGTACACTGTAAATACTGACCCTAAGGAGAAAAACACAGGAGTAGAAGGGGCAGCTAATGGTCACAGAGAGTTCTAGCTACTATGCTGGAGGCATCTGATTGGAATCATCTCATCTTATCACAGTCAGAAACAAATTTAGGAGTCAGATATTGTTACAACCCACACGAAGAGGGTAGAAGGTGGAGCCTTAAAGTTTTAACTCCCTCAAGTTTGGCGTAACCAACTCAGGATTCAAATCTCAACTAGCACACAACTCTCCCATTCCCTACGATGAACGACGAAGCCAGCGTAGTATAAAAGTTGGTGTGTAGGGTTCAAATCTTAAGCCAAACCTTCGCGGTGGGGGGGGGGGAACAAGACCTACTGAACGCGGCTTAAGAGAAAATTAAAAAATAAGGCACCAGGGCAGCCCACGAACGAGGGGCTGACTCACATTAAAGGAAGAGTCAGGCCGCCAAACTGAACTGACAAGCATCCACCACCCTCAAAGTTCAAAGGAATCTTGTCACCCCACCCCCAAGCCACCCGCTCCGAGCCACAGGTCCTCCAACGCCAGGGTTCTCCGAGTCAACAACTCGGGCGCCCACCTCGCGTCCTGCGGGTGCCCGAGGCTCCCTCGCCTCCAGCCCGGCCTGGCCCGCGCCGTCACCGCTGCCCACGGAAGCCGGGCCTCTCGTGGCCTCCCGTCCCGGTGCTGCGGCCTAGGCCGGTGCCGCCCACCCGGACCCAGATCGCCGGCGCTCTCCCGACCCAAGAACCAGCACTGACCGTTGTACGACTTCCCCTCGTCCGCCATGGCACAGCGAAGAACAGGGGCGGGCTCAGGCGCGGGCCCCGACGCCACCAGACGCCCGAACGCCCAGGCGCTCAGGACCGAAGCTCCCCACGGCCCCGGCGCCACCGCATTTATCCGGCGAAGCACGTCGCGCGCAGTAGACGTCCTGGGGCAGCGGGCGGGGCAGCTGGGCTGGGGCACGCCCTCCACGCCTGCGCACTGGCACGGCGGCGGCGGCGGGACCCGCCCCCAAGCCCCGCCCCCAGGCTGAGCTCGCGGCGCGGTGGCGCGAAGGCGCTCCGCCGGCTCGCCCCGCCTCTCGTTTATCCGCTGTGCCGGGCCGACGCGGTCCCCGCCCGCCGGCCGGAGTTCCGGCTGGAGCCGAGCAAGCTGCTGTGGCTCCCAACTCAGGAGCAGGAAAGAGTACTGCCCGCCCGCTCCGAGGAGATCGCTCACGGTCCCCTGCGGGGCCCAGCCAGAGCTCAACTATCTGCTCCGCCCCTCGGCGGTCGCGGATCTGTACGTTGTTTTCCTCGGCTAGAAGACAGATTATGACGAAATAGAAAACGAGCGTACGGCTCTTGGGAGTGGGAACCTTGGCCAGTTCGGAACTTTTTCTCCTCTAGTGCCCGGCACACAGTAGAAAGGCAACACACACTTGCAAAATAAACCGATTTCTTCTGCAGCCTGCGCCTCCCCCCAGGTGCCAATTTAAACTAGACCGCTGTCGGGCGTGGCGAGCATGCTCCGTCTCGGCTTGCTCACTTCGACCTCAGCTTGTCAGCTAGGCAGACTGGGCAGTAATACTTCTTGGTGGGGAGGGGGGCTCTGGGCGTGAGCTCAGGGCCTGGGTGCTGTCCCCGGGCGTTTTTGGTTAAGGCTAGGGCTCTACCACTGGCACCACGGCTTCACTTTTGGTTCGTTGGTGTTAAGTCTTGGGACTTTGCTGCCCCAGCAGGTTTCACACCGAAATCCTCAGATCTCAGCCTCTTAAGTGGCTGGGATTACACACGTGAGCCATCGGTGCCTGGCTGAAAATAGTTTAAATTGGTAGCACCATGGACTCTCCTACACCTTCCAATACAGAAGGAATTGCCCCTCAGGGTCATTGCGAGGCTGTGTAGTTCCCACAGGGCAACCCTGCTCTCTGAATGGTGTGGTTGTGGGTCCCGATCGGGAGGGAACACATTAGCCTCCCTGGATGGAGGTAGCCTTCCAGGAAAGGTCTTCAGGCAGGTCTCCATTCTCTTGTGAATGGCTTGGATTTGGTGAGGGGGTTGAGAGAAGGAACCAAAGCTCTCAGCTGGAATGGGGAACAAATTCACTTTTCTGCCCATGGCAGTAGGCCAGCTCCTGCCGCTCAGGCAGGGAAGAACTAGGGCCAACGGGTTAGATGATGTACATGAATTCTGGTTCAAACATGGCTTGAAATGTTCTGGAAGTTAACATTCATCAAGGACCCGATGTGGGATTGGATTCTTTTTTTTTTTTTGTGCCAGACCTGGGGTTTGAATGCAGAGCCTGGGCACTGTCCCTGAGCTGTTTTTGCTCAAGACTAGCACTCTACCACTTGAGCCACAGCACTGCTTTTTTTATGTAGCTTATTAGAGGTAAGTCTCACAAGACTTTCCTGCTCAGGCTGGCTTCAAACTCCAGTCCTCAGATCTCAGCCTCCTGAGTAGCTAGGAATACAGTTGTGAGCTACCAGTGCCTGGCTCAGGCTTTTTTTTTTTTTTTTT